GAGACAAACAAGATTACGGCCTCCTCCTAACCGTCGGAGGCCTTGGGACTTAAGGGCTTGGTGCGAAGCTGTCCCCGGCTGCCCTCAAGATGGTCAGGGCAGGGTGGCTGAACGCGAGTCTGTTGGGCCCTGGAGTCACTAGAGAGCTGCGCCTGTAGAAACGCGGGATTTAACGGCCCTAGAAGGCAGGCCCCATCCCCTGACATCAGGGATGGATGGTGAACGTGGGGTTGGACTCCAGTTAGCAACAGCCTCGGTCAACCCGACTTGACGGGAGTCGAATTCCAACATGTAGAGGGCCACAGCCCCCCCCCCCCGCCCCGACTCAAATGGCAACGTGCATTATTTTCCCAACTTCAAAATGTGATAAAAGTAGCCCATGCTATATTTAGAGACCTTGTCGAGGAGGGCTAGACCAAAGTCCTGCCATTATGACACAGTGCTGCTATGGGCAAAATGACCATGTGGATGGTGTTCTGTTAAGAGGCCCTGGTGAAGCCTTTGAATGACCAGCTCACAGCAGACAAACGGAGCAGCCTGGAGGAAAAGAACCATTTATACTATGGGGTAAGCTGCAGTTGTGAAAATGCCAGTCCTCACCCTGCCGTCTTTGGAGAACCAGGCATGTCTATCCACCTGCCATTTCCTACAGTCTCTAACGGTCTCTTGTGTTGTGGGCATCTGCAGCAGTTGCCAGACGTTTTGTCCAGCACAGAGCAGGAAGTATGCATTACCAGTCCACTGGGGCTGGAAACAAAACTGGGTTAACCTGCTGCTTTCCGTGGATCCCATGGTCATATGTACAGTATTGCAACTGAGGCAGTGACAAAACTACCATAGGTGAAAAAAAATAGAGATCACCAAAAGGAGTATAAAAATATGATGGGCAGAATGATGAAGAAATATTTTTCTGGGATACATTGATAGAATATATATATATATACTTTTCTGGGATGCATTTCATTTCACTGGTACTATCTATATGCCACTGCTGCTCTTCAAACATTTTTAACCAAATCGTCCCTGTGTTTTATCATTTTTAGAGAACACCAGACTAGAGGAGGCTGGCCTATGGAAACACGCATCCAGCATATGCCCAAGAGTCTTGAATTGGCTTTTGCCTCTAGGTTTCAAAGTCCAGGGGTTAAGAGATATTATTGCTTAACTGCTAGGGAACCTCTGTGCTATGTGGACTTGCAATTAAATAAAAGAAAGATGAACATATAAATTGAAATCTACAAATATTTTGATTGGTCCCACACTAGGTTCCTTCTATTTGCTTGCTGTGTCTCTTGTTCTCGCTGCTCTTCAAACATTTTTAACCAAATCGTCCCCGTGTTTTATCATTTTTAGAGAACACCAGACTAGAGGAGGCTGGCTTATGGAAACACGCATCCAGCATATGCCCAAGAGTCTTGAATTGGCTTTTGCCTCTAGGTTTCAAAGTCCAGGGGTTAAGAGATATTATTGCTTAACTGCTAGGGAACCTCTGTGCTACTATGTGGCCTTGCAATTAAATAAAAGAAAGATGAACATATAAATTGAAATCTACAAATATTTCGATTGGCCCCACACTAGGTTCCTTCTATTTGCTTGCTGTGTCTCTTGTTCTCCCTCTTACTCATAACTATTAATCAGAAGTGATGGATTGGAAGTGCAAATGCTCATAATGATGATCTCCATAGCAAAGGCTGGAAACAATGGGAGCAGTGAGGGGGGGGAGAATAACTATTCAGGCTGGCTGTCATCTAGGAAAAAAAGTAACGTTTCTTACCTCCCCCCCCACGCACACACCAATAGCCAGCCCCACAGCAAGGAGAATCCAAAAATATAGCGAACTAGATCAGATTTCATGTCATATACTGTATGTTATAGCATTTTTTTCTATTTTCACTCAAAGTAGGACTTTTGTAAAGCTAACATCTCTTGACTGTCCATTCAAGCTATAACTACTCTCAAAAATTTTGCATTACAGCAAGAGATTGGTTGCAACAACATATAGTTCCTAGGCACATTGATTTCTATTGAGTGGACTGCAGCTACATTTGGAGAGAAAAGGAAAATTTAAGGTGGCGGCCATGGGGCAGAAGATGTCACAGTCCTTGCTATTCAGAAAATCCCAGAGCTTCAAATCTGTGAGACGTGGCTCAACTATACTGGTACAGTTTATCATTTATCGTGATTAGATCATGATAAATTAGTTAGTGTTCTAAGTTGCATTTATTAACCTTGGGCCATTATCATTACTAATCAAGTATATAATGTAGTAAGGAGGCAAGGTATATCACCATCTTTGGATACAATCCAACTAGAGGTAAGTGCTTTTAAGTCTCAGTTGAACCTCTGTGGATGAAAGGGTAAGGCAAATGAGTAAATCTTCCCCTGAGATCAACATGACAGGTTTGTGCACAACTTTGACTGGATTCTGCCTATAATTTTGTTTGGCCTCAGCTCAACTCTGTAAGGGAGGGCTGTGTTATTCTCACATTTCAGAAAGGGAATTGAGGTCACCCAACTGAATCTGTAATAGAGGTATGATGTTTGTTTCTTAGCCTTTTATCTGTCTCTCACTCATCCAGTCTAGCAGACCACACAGGCTGTCTTTACAGCTTATTCTGTATTTGCTTAAGTAACTTCTCCTATGTCCTGAGAATTGCCATGAATATTTGCAGTCAGTTTCAATGCAATGTATATAAGTCAATCTGGCCAAAGATTCAACAGGAAAGGCATTTTCAAGTATTTCAGTATGTTTACTTTCAACCAAATCCCCAACAGAAGGAGTATGAATGACGTGTTCATCACAGAGTTTGCTCTGAGGGATGAAGGAGGGGATTTCTTTCAAAATTTTACCTCAGAGGTTTGTTATCAACTGGGTTTTAGTTGACCCCTCTCCTCAATCCCACACAAATAATTCTGTCATCTTAGAACTGAAGGAGAAAAAGATAGATGCCAATACTGAATCTAAGCTAGAATTCCTAAAGGCCAAAACCCAGATTTTATTTTCCAGTAACAGGCTTTAACTCTGGAAAATGTCCTGTATGGTGATGGATCATATACAGGAGGGTTCCCCCCTACCCCCTTGTGTCCCCTTTCACATCTTCTCCAGCCAGTACCATGGAAGCTGTAGTCAGTATCTCTTTCCTTCAGCATGGAACAACCATAAAAGTCCCCTCAGATACTGAAAACAATATATTAGGGCACACTGCAGTCCAGCAGGCTTTAACCTCTCCAAGCATCTTTCATTTCTGAAATTAAACACTGCTAGAAAAGGAAGTGGAAGACTACCAGAACACTCTCTTCTTGCAAAGAGTTTTTTAAATCCATTAAAAGCTGGAAGTAAACCATTTTTTTAAAAAAATGATGCTAATGATGATGGTTGTACTAAACAGACATGGATTGGTAAAATATTTAATTACTGCTGATATAGCTGCCAAGCTAGCTAAGATGCCCTGCTAAGGATCATAACATCATGGTCCTGAAGTGATACTTGTAGCTGTCAACCTGAGTTAATTTTTTTAAGCTTAAAAGCTTGGAACGATATGTAGTGCATGTTTGAGTATCCTCTATAATTGATGCCACATTGGATTGAATGCAAG